GGGCTGCGGACACAGGGAAAGCTGAGGGTGACCTGAGTAGAAGGGGCTGGGGGAGGAGAGGGGGGAGTGAGCTGTTATGGGCTGAATTGTGTCCCCTCAAAATTCACATGTTGAAACCCTAACCCCCAGTACCTCAGATAGTAACTGTATTTGGAGCTAGGGCCTTTAAAGATGAGATTGAGTTAAAATAGGGCCATTAGGGTGGGCTCTAATCCAATCTGAGTGGTGTTCTTAGAAGACGACGTCATTTGGACACACGGAGAGACACCAGGGGTGCACAGAGGAAAAGCCATGTGAGGACACAGGGAGAGAGCAGCCAACTGCAAGCCGAGGAGAGAGGCCTCGGGAGAAACCAACCCTGCAACACTTTGATCTCAGACTTCCAGCCTCCAGAACTGTGAGAAAATAAATTGCTGTTGTTTAAGCCTCTCAGTCTGTGGTATTAGGTTATGGCAGCCTGAGCAGATTCATCCTAGGCAGACCTTCTATGCCATCAGCAAACATTTCCTGAGCCCACTCCAAGTCTTGGCACTATGCTTGACGCTGAGGATCTGAAGATGAATCAAGCCGGGGAGCCATTCCCTGTGGCAGAGCTGCAGCCCCTCAGAGCCTGAGGCAGGCTGAGCCACTTAATATACAAGACTCCTTGTATATTAAAAAATATACCAGAGTTTTAAAAACTGTGGTATTCTTGAAAACACAAAGACCCTTTTAACACAAACAGTAATGCAACAGAATGTTGCTATGCCCAAGATAATTACAAGGTTTATTTTAAAAATTAATTCTGTAAAGGGCCAGGTAGTGAATAGTTTGGGCTTTTCGGGCCAAACATCTGTCACAACTACGCCACTCACTGTTGTAGCATCAAAGCAACCTCATAAACAAGGGGCAGAGATATGTTCCCATGAAGCTTTATTTACAAAACCAGATGGCGGGCTGGGTTTGGCCCTGGGCCTTAGTTTGCTGACCTATGGTGTAGACACCAGGATCCAGTAAAAGCATACAAGTTTAAAGCTGTATGAAATTCATCTTCATTCAATCCTGTTGGTGTACCGACTGTATAACCTGTTAGAAATACTATCGAAGTTTAAATTTGAGGCCCTTCCTGAATGGGAAGCCTAGGCCAAGAGATCTGAATCCTATCCCCACCCAGTGATAAGTCCAGCGGGTTGGTTAAACCTACAGGCTTTGAAGTGAGACTGCTATGTAGACTACAGGCAAGTTACTAAGCCTGTGAACCTTACTTTCCTGTTCTGTGAGATGGGATAACAATTCCACCACAGCAGTGTTGTTAGGAGTATTATATGAAGTAATGCACACGAAGGTTAGGTCGGGGAGCCAGGCGGGCACAGCAGAGGGCTCCTCCTGCACGAAAGGAGAGAGAAGCAACGTGACAGTCTGCGAGTCCAGCTGCTAGACTCAGCTGAGAAATTCCTGCTCGAACAGTTTCAAAGTTCTCAGTAACAAAGAACAGACAGTTTGAGAACCTTCTGAGGGACTTGAGGGCAGTGTAATTTGTCTTTGGCAGACTACATGATTTGTTTCAAAATAACTTTTGCCTAAAAAAAAAAAAATCTCCCTCAGACGCATTGTGGCCAGCAAACTTGGAGTTGTGTGGTTCCTAGGGGTCTAAACTGGGAACACCTCCGAGCTCGACCCAATGAAGACAAGAACATCGCTGTCTCCATTCCCTTATTACATTTTCCTTGTGTGCCCGGGGCCACACCCCCATCCCAGCCCCCAACACACCAGTGTTCTGAGCTTTTGCATGGTGAGACTATGTCGGCCTTGTTCACCAATGTCTTGTCACAGTATCTAGAACCTAATATGAGCTCCATACATATGTGTCGACCGAATGAATACATGAATGAAGGTACATGTGGGGAAGGCCAGTGGCTGTCTCAGACAGGGTCCCTGAGTAGGCATCCCTTGGTCAACTCACAAGAGCCTGGAGAGCCCAGGGTCTCCCTCAGCTTTGTGGATGCGGAAATGTGATTCGTGAGTACACCAAGAGATTGCTGGGGTGGGGGACCAACTCATGGCAACCATACTTACAAGTGTACATACCAGAAAGCCAAGGTATAAATTATACGTTTATCATTGTCTATTTATGGAAATATGCCTGCACCAGTGTCCATTGGCCAGCTTCTGCCTAGTAGCTGAGTCTTCACAGCAGCTCACAGGGTAACCAGAGGGCTCTGGGAAAGCATGGACGCTTCCATTCTGAGGGTCCTTTTGCAGTGTGACTTTGATACTTCTCTCATCATGACGTGGAATCTATTTCCCCTCCCCTTGAATCTGGGTGGGTGTTGACTGTGACTTGTTTTGACTTCTGAGCCTAATCCTTCAGAAGCACTGAAGTTTCACTTTCATTTCTTGGAAGCTGGCCATGTACAGAAGCTCAGCTTGACTACTGAATGAGAACAGTCTCCATGGAGGGAGAGGCTATGTGGAGGTGAACAAGGCACCCCAGCCCACAGCCAGCCCCAAGTCCCCAGACGTGTGAGTGAGGCCATGCTGGGTACTCCGCCCACCACTCAGCCATCCTAGCAGCCACTGCAAGGAACAGAGATGAGCCATGCCCACTAAGCAAAACTAGGAGCAATAAAATGATTGAAAATGGGTTTCAAGCCACTGGGTTTGGAGTAGTTTGTATACACAGCAATGGACAACTTTCAAAACAAGAGGAAGGGTTGGATTCTATTAATGGTTGGTATCATTGAGTTCTGAAAGCCCATTGCCTCCATCTCCACTTTCCTGCTGCCCTGATGTCATGCTCCCTCTACTCCAACGAGTCTGGGGACACTCTCCTGTCCCTGACTCTCTGACCTACCCTTTTAGAGGTACCAGTCAGACCACCCCCTCTTCTAACACATTTGTTGTTGTCTTGATTGAATTTTGGGCCCTGTTCAATTGCAAGGGCACAACCTCAATTAAACTATTGGGTTCTTCCTAATTTCCTAATATTAATTGACTTCCACAAGCCAGGCCCTGTCCTAGGAGCTAATGATACAGCACAGAACCAGACCCACACAGTCCTGTTCTCATGGAATTTACATTCTAGTATATCCTCAGACTGGGGACATCCTAGCTTTTGTCTTCATATACCAGGCATAAAACTATGACCCAGTGTGGAAAGGCACACTGCGCCTTGGAAACAACCTGATAACCACCCTAGCCTTCCCTAACTTCTTCATCTAGCTCCCTGAATCTTACATAAGCAGATGACCAAAAGTGATGCTTCCTATATTTTAAAGGTATAAGCAGTTTGGGATGACCTGACAGAGATAAGCCTAGGGAACCAGTAAAACAGAAGAACCAAAATTAATTTTCTAGTGTGGAATTTAATATTAAAAAAAAGATCAAAGTAGTCATCAAGGGCAAAATCAGTATTTTATTAAACTTCCTAATTTTTTTTAAGTTTAGAGTTGATTTTATTTCCGCCCCACCATTACTGAAATATAATTGACATATAACATTGCATAAGTTTAAGGTGTGCAGTGTAACAATTTGATATAAGTACATACTGTGAAATGATTATCACCATAAGGTTAGTTAATACATCCATCACCACACACTTCCTTTTCTTTTGCGATCAGACCCTTTAAGATCTACTCTCTTAATATCTTTCCAGTATACAATACAGTATTGTTAACTACAGTCACCATGCTGCACCTTAGATCCCCAGAACTTAGTCATCTTATAACTGGAAGTTTGTACCTTTTGACCCCCTTCACCCACTTCCCCCACCCCCCCAGCCCCTAGTAACCACCAATCTACTGTTTCTACGAATTCAGTTTTTTTTAGATTCCATATATAAGTGAGATCATACATTATTTGTCTTTGTCTTATTTCATTTAGCATGATGCCCTCAATAGTGTCATAATCTCTCCAGCGTTTAAGCCCTCCAAAGGTGAAAATAGCGGATGGGCGGTTTTCCTGACCCTCACCCGGAAGGTTACATCAAGTTCAAAATACGTTTCTACACCTTGGCGTGGTAATCTTCCGTAGAACCAGTTTCACATTCCTGGTAAATAACCTTCCCCACTTAAGGAAGCTCCTTGTATTTCTCGTGGCTTTAACTGGGATCTCTCTCAGCGAGAAATCCTCCCCTATGTAAGGGGACAGTAGCCCTTTTTCTGCTTTTCAAAGGGCTTGTGTGGGGACATCTGTGATGTCAGCATTTCTTTAGCCATCGTGGTTTGTTTAAATCTATTTTATGTGGGTTGAAACATTTTATTTCCCTTTTAATTTTGCTACCATTCACTGAGTGCCTCTTCTGTGCCAGCGCCACTCAAAGCGCTGTCAATACATTGTTAGGTGATTTAACTCTAAAAACTTTATTAATTAGGTACTGTTACCATCCCCACTTTACGGATAAGGAAACTGAGGCTCAGAGAGGTCAAGAGCACTCCACTAATAAACGACTCTCTTGCCCCAGAGCTTGTTCTCTTAACCCCTAACTATTCTTGCTTTTCTTCCCGAAAGCCAGTAAAGACAATCATTTCAAACACGTACTCATACGAATTACAAGGGATATAAAATTAGCGAAGGCTCCTACGCTAAAGCTCAATATAATTTATCTCCTCACATTTAATCCTAACAACAACCACAAGCAAGAGCAAACCAGAGCCCCAAGGGGTTGACTTGCCTGGGGGGACAGCTCACAGCTGGCGGAGACGGGGCTCGAACCCCAGGGCAACTCGAAACTCCAAGGACCCGCTCATTTACCGGTATTGCTTGTCAGGGCCCTGCGCTCCCGGAAGTCCCGCCCCAGACGAAGGACGAAGGACGGTTTCCGGACAGAATTGACGCGGGGAAAGCCGGAAAGAGGCAAGGGGCGGGGCCGTCCAGGACGCTCTAGCATTCCTCCACTCTATGGCCACCGCCAATTGACAAGTCCGGAGCGGCCAGGCTCCTCTCTATTGGACGCACAGCTTCGCGTAGGCGGGCAGCTCGGCCTGCGGCGCGCTGATTGGCTGGGCCTGCCACGAGGGGCGAAGGGGCGGTGCGTGGGGCACGCGGACCGAGGCGACCGGCTGCCTTCCCAGGCCGGGTGGAGGCTGGCGCATGTGGGCTCTCCGTTCGCTGCTGCTGCGGGCCGCGGCTGGGCGCAGCATGTCGCAGGGACCCGCCCGCCGCCAGCGGCCGCCCAAGGACCCGCTGCGGCACCTGCGCACGCGGGAGAAGCGCGGCCCGTCGTGGGAGCCCGGGGGCCCGAACACCGTGTACCTGCAGGTGGTGGCGGCCGGCGGCCGGGATGCAGGCTCCGCGCTCTATGTCTTCTCCGAGTACAACCGGTCAGTGCGCCGCGCCCGGGGTCCGGCCGGGCCTCCGCGGCGTCCCCTCACCGAGCCCCGCCCCCGCTGCGTGCTGCTCGCTCGGGAGCATCCCTGGGCTTCCCTGACCCTTTCTGCACACGTGTGGGGTGTCACTCCTGCAGCCGATCTTGGTCTTTTGGTGGGTGGGAGAGCCTAGATTCCTTACATCCTACGTGCGTATAGTTTCCGGGAGCCCCTGAAGCACTTCAGACCTGGATGTACGTGTCCTCTTCCCAGCCCTTGGCTCCCGAGTTCGCTCTTGGTACTCTGAGCCGCACCCCCTCCCCTGCACCCCGAGACCGGGCCTCACAGTTGGGTGTGGGGTCGACAGGTCTGGTGAGGAGGTGATGGAGGAAAGAACCCATGTCACCGCACGCCAGCCTACACAGGCCTCCAGTCTCCAACCTAGCATCCTAATCGCAGAAATGCCGCCCGGTGGTACAACATGGGTTTTCAGTTTTTTATCCCCAGAGTGTACGTACAATCAGCGTCTAAACAGTGTCAGAGATTTAACAGATGAGAATCTTCTGAGTATCTTGTGTAATGTTCGTCCTGTAGGTATCTCTTCAACTGTGGAGAAGGCGTCCAGCGACTCATGCAGGAGCACAAGTGAGTCAACCGTTTTCTTGTGGGGTGGAGATGATTAAGAGACTTGAAAGCTGAGATGAGAGGCAGGAGTGTTTTTATAGCAGAAGGAAGGGTTCCTGGCGCATCCATTTAGTCCTGCTCAAATGTTTCGCTTTCTTAGGCTGAAGGTGGCTCGTTTGGACAACATATTCCTCACTCGGATGCACTGGTGTAATGTTGGGGGGTTGTGTGGTAAGTATATTCTTTCTGGGGTCAGAGGCTGGAGGGAAGTCTCTGGGATTTTAACCTGCCTTGCCTTTTTTTTGCCCATGTTCTGAGTCCAGGGGAGCTGGAAATCTTTTTATGCCAGCCCAGGCAGCTGCAGCACAGAGCATCATAAGCTGTGACTCAGAAGAGCAGATTTTAACATGGATACTGCCTCCAAGTGTTACCGTCTACTTCATTTATTTAGTCGCTGAACTGGGGATATGTGACAGTAAACCGGAGGATGTAGTGGTGGTGATTATAGTAAATGTACTTAATATCAAGACCATCGGCAGCTACACACAGATACCCATTATCCAGATTACCCCATTATTCACATCCACCAATAGGAAGGTCAACATTGTGTTGCCACCAAATTCTGTAAGCTTTGTGATGTGGACAGGTAGGAGTGGTGTGTTGAACCGGTCCCATTCACAGTGTTGAGACTAGGGTGAGGCAGGCAAGGCGCCTAGGGTGCTGAGTTGAAGGCCATCTCTTCACTTACATCCTAGGTGCCTCACTGCCTCACCCTAGTATCAGCCCTGCCTGTGCTAGGGGCATTTAAGGACTATTTGGTGTCCCTTGTACTTCTAGCTAGCATCGCTTCTGTTCGGTACATGTTCCGTGACAACTTGTTAGAGGCTGGAATGAGGATAAATAGATGAATAGCTAGTTCAGTAAGGAGTGCTCCTCCTGGCTGCCACTGCAGGCCAAGGTGCTGAGAGATCTGATTTTATTCATCCTTTTTAGGAATGATTCTTACTTTAAAGGAAACCGGGCTTCCAAAGTGTGTACTTTCTGGACCTCCACAACTGGTGAGTCTCTCTTGACTCAGCTTTCCAAGGTAACCCCTCCTTTTTTAAGGTTAGTAACAAGAATTCCCATTTTTACGAATCAGTCTTCTGCCCTCCAGAGATAACACTTCACCTTTCAAGTTAAAGAGACCTGAGTCCAAAACCTGAATAACCGTATGACCTTGAACAAATTATTTTACCTCTTGGAGCCTCAGTTTGTTCATCTGTAAAATGGCTATAATGTTTCATAGAGTTTTTAAGGATTAAATGAAGTAACACATTAGAGCACTAAATCCCTTTATTAGATGTTTCATACCAAGTGGGCACACAACAAATGTTAGCTTTTATTCTTACTTATTTACTAAATTTCAGACATCATCATACCTTCCAGACCAGCTTATTACACTGCTGAGAAGGTGTGTGCATATTGTTAAAACTGTTGAATATAACAGTTCATTTCCCAGTTCTTCAGGTGAAAGGCAACCAAACACCAAGTCCTGTTAATTCTGTCTCCAGAATAATGCCACAACTCTGTCTGTTTGTCTCCATCTCATTAAGGCCTTCATCATCTCTCTCTGCTACACCTGTCTATGATGATAGCTTCCCATATCCATTCTTGCGTCCCTGTAATCATCCACACACAGCGGCCAGAGGGACCTCTCTAAAGGATAACTGCAGACAGGGCACTTCCATCCTGAAACCCTTCAAGGGGGTTCTCCAATGCAGTATGGTCCATGCACACACCTTAATATGGCCTCCATGTCCTGTGGACCTTGGCCCTCACCCATGCTTCCATCTCTATCCAAGTCACCATGCTGGAGCTCCCCGGGCCCACTCTTAGCTCTTCACTGAAGCCCCTTCCCGTCTCGGGCTTTTGTCCGTACACTGGTTCCCTCTGCCTCTTCTCATCCCTGCCTGGATCCTTCTGAACCTTCAAGGCTCAGCTAAAAGGTCATTTGCTCAGGAGTAGCCCTGACCCTCAGACAGGTTGTGTCCCAGCTCCCTGCACTTTTCATTTCCTTAGCAGAGCATTTAGCACAACAACCACTAAGTTGTTGTCTGTGTCATCGTTTGTTGTCTCCACTCCATTCTCAGTTTCATGAGGGCAGGGATACCACCTCCTTCTTACTGCTAAATCCTTGGCATCTAACCCAGAGTAAACACTTAGTAAATGTTTGTATAAAGGAAGTTCCACATGCTTCCAGAACTTAGTTTTATGTTAATACCTATTGATACCTCTTGTGCACTGGAAGACGTTACTGTGTTCTGCGTTTGTGCAACCATAACTGCTCACGTCTTTATTTTCCTTTTTCAGGAGAACTACCTAGAAGCTATCAAAATATTTTCTGGTCCATTGAAAGGAATAGACCTGGGTATGTCCTTGATGATGACTCATTATCTGCCATTTCTTTCCCATATGCCCCAGACTCTCAAATTCAGAGTCCATAAAAACTGACCTAAATTAAACCTTAAAATCAAATGCTTCATCAGCATGAGATGAATTTTTTAAATATTGCCTCTTGCACTTACTATGCCCCCACCTCATGGCCCCCAAATATAGACTTCACAGGCAGGAGTGATTTAAAACTGCAACATGCCCCATGTATGCCAGGAAGTGGTCTCCATTCCAGCACCGAGGCTCCTGCCCTGGTCCTCAAGGTGGTTCTCGTAGTTGAATTGCCTTGAATTCCTTGCAGTAGGAAGAGGGGGTGTGAGCAGCTCAGGCTGTGCTGGGAGGCACATGGCGTCTTGATGGGAAAAGGCCTAACAGAGGATGGCAGCAGGGCCCGCCCTGGAGGCAGTGTGCATCTCTGGCTTGTTAATGCTCCTCTTCTACAGACACACGAATATTTTTTTTTAATTTTTTTTTTTTCTGAGGAAGACTGGCCCTGGGCTAACATCCGTGCCCATCTTCCTCTACTTTATATGGGATGCCACCACAGCATGGCTTGATAAGTGGTGCGTTGGTGCGCGCCCAGGATCCGAACCTGCGAACCCTGGGCCACTGAAGCAGAGCGTGCGCACTTAACCGCTGTGCCAGCAGGCCAGTCCCAGAAACGCAAATATTTTATTTGAAAGTGTATACCAGCTTTTAGAGTTGAGATGACAGATTCTCTGGCCTCACAATGCTCTGTGTTAACTTGTGTGTCTTAAATTTGAGTATTGGTTTCTTTTTTTTAAAGATTTTATTTATTCATTTTTTTCCCCCCAAAGCCCCAGCAGATAGTTGTATGTCATAGGTTCACATCCTTCTAGTTGCTGTACGTGGGACTCGGCCCCGCGCTGGACGGAGAAGTGGTGCCTTGGGGCGCGCCCGGGATCCGAACCCGGGCCGCCAGCATCAGAGCGCGCGCACTTAACCGCCAAGCCACAGAGCCGGCCCTGGTTTCTTTTTTTTAAATGAGTAGTCACCATTGATCATAATATGTCTTCTCATTCGGCTGTAGTAAATATTAATGACTCATGAAAATATATTTTTGCTTCTTTCCTAAAAACTCTAATTTACTCAGAAATTCTGATTTTAGTGCAAATTCCTTCCAAAATTCCAAAGCAGTTCAGTTGCTTGTGGTTGGTGATCTGGGAAGTTAATTTCCACACGTGTTTGCTAATGCAGCCACTGTCCTGTTGTCTTTTCTCGTAGCTGTGCGGCCCCACTCTGCTCCAGAATACAAGGATGAGACCATGACAGTTTTCCAGGTCCCCATATACAGTGAGTATGGAAGCCACATTTCCCAGGAGGAGGCGGAGGAGGAGGTCCTAGGTGAGGAAGGCGTGGGTGAACATAGAAACCGCTTCAGTACTGGCTTTGTGTACCTGGATTTGTGTTTTGAGCATGATTCAGAAATTTAGCTGAGGAATTAAGAGATGGAGCTTATAATCTTAAGCTTATAATCTTACGGACAGACATGTTTAACTCATAGAGAATGCTAAGGATATACTTTGGAATATTATGGAGTTAAGCGGTGGTCTCAGATTGGTGCATTCATTGCTTGGGGTTTATTTGCCACGGATGTGAGAACCCTCCTTTGATGAGAGGATTTTGGAGAGGTGTGCAAAGATAAACACTTTTTTATAAATACTATCAGTAGGCTAGTAGAAGTGTTGTTAGGGGGTCAGAAGGGCACACAAACCTGCTCAGGTCCCAGGGCCAGATGATGTGGTTTTGATCTAGAGACAGGTTGTCTACACATCAGTCCTGCCGTGTCAGTGTCGTTCTTGCGTCTGTCTAAACACACTCCATGTTAGGTTTTACCTCCTGTGTGGAGAATGCAGAGCCTTTGGGCCATGTTCTTGGCAGTGCTGACTGGTCTGACGTTTGCCAAGTGCTGTAGGGGTGTAGACAAGAGCCCCCAACAAAGGCCAGAGAAGTCCAGGCCCTGACGAGGCCACGAGACCGGCACTGACGCACGGGTAGGAGAAGGGAGAAGGCAAGGGTTCGAGAAGAGAGAAGGCTGTGGTTCGAGCAGAGGCACAGTGCTCAGAGGCCAGGGAGGCGGCTGGTCTGGTCAGAACTCTCCTTGCCTGGCTCCCTCCTGGTCAGATGGCTTCCCTGACCTCACCCCCAGCGCCAGCACCAGCCTGATTTGGGTCCCTCCCCTGTTCCTTCTAGCACCCTGTTGCTCCCGCCCCAGCACGTGGCGGTTTACTTGTATGTATGTAGTGTGATCCGTGCTGACCTCGCGCAGCGTGCTGGTGGCGTTCCCCGGTGCCCGGCAGCAGAGGAACGAGCACGCGTGAGCAGGCAGCCTCTGGGAGACCAGCAGCTGTGCGTCAGCTTCTTAGAGCAGTGATTTTTTTTTTTTTTTTTCTTGACCTTGAGACTTAACTGACTGCAAAATGATGCTGCTTCCATGGAGATGGGTAACCTTTGGGCCAAGATCTGTTTATTGAGTGATGATAATGAATAAACCAGCCTACTATCTGCATGCTTTTTAGTCAGCAAACACTGTTGAGTTCCTGCTGTAGTCAGGGCTGTGAGCTGAGCAGACACGGAAAGATGAGAGAGACATAGATGCAGCCCAGGGACCGGGTGGGGAGGTGATAGTTTACTCCTGTAGTAGATGATGTGCTGATGTAATGGGCACCCGGCATTCCCACGTGTCAGCATCTGGGCGCTGGCTGGGAGCTCGCCTTGCGTGGTGGGTAATTTGCTTGTTTCCTATACCAACCAGGTGAACAGAGGTGTGGAGGGCGCCAGCCATCACCGAGTCCGGAACGGCTCAGTCCAGAGTGGTCTTCAGACCTTGGGTCGACTGAAAATGAGCAGCACCTTCCAGATGGTAATGGTATTTGAGCAAAACAGTACACTGTCAAGAGGATTCTGTTTTTGTAATCCATTACTCGTTAATGCTCTAAATTTGAATCGTTATCATAAGAAAGCTCTGTGTGTAAAACAGATCCTTTTTTCTTGACACGTTAGGACTTGGCCTGTGAGGAGAGTGAGTAGGGTTGTAAAGGGGGTAGTATGGAGCTTTAGTGGCCAGCCTGCAGCCCTTGGTGGGCCCCCAAGCTTTGTGTTCAGTTTACCCAGAGGAGAGCAGGGCCTGGCAAACTGATTCATACAGAGGATTTTGTGTTTTTCATTAATACAGCATTAATGCAAATTAATTTTTCGTGAATGCAGAAGCTATAACTGCTAAGCTGACAAAACAGTCATCAATGATGGATCTGCACCTTTTCTTCCATAATAACAACCTACTGGCAAACTGAATTAAAATTCTGAGATTAGATGTATCAAAGGAATTGGACTGCTTAAGGAGTCTGTTGTCCAGTGTTGGGCAAGGCTCAGTAAGTTCCTCTCTCTGCCCTGAGGTCGAGTCTGTTGACAGGAAGAGGCCCACTGTAGAAGCCGTCCTTTTTTGGATGGCACGGGTGAAGACTGACGTATTTTTTTCTGCAAGCCTTTTAGCTTTTGTGTTATTTCACATATTCTTATGCTTGTTCATAAAGCACATTACAACTTATTTTTTCTCTCTTCTCCACTTCTAGGTAAACTGTCATTTTTTAAATATTTCACTTGCCATTCTAAAGTTTTTCTGGTTGGAGTTCTGCATTTTTCGTTTACTCAGATCTCAACATGAGTAGGAATAAGAAAAAGTCTGCTGGAGAAAGGATACTAGAGTTTTCTTCGATCTTTGTGTTGGAACAGTTATGTCCATTTAATTTTGTGTGAAGTCGAATGAGGTGTCAGATGATCCTCGATCTGCGAAGCCTATAAACCTTCACATTTACCTTATTGTAATCAGATTTGTTTCTCCTCAGGTGTTAGCCGGAAAATAGGTGGCCGGGACCCCTCCTTGGTGGTAGCTTTTGTCTGTAAGGTAAGCACCCTTCTGCTGACTTTAAGTGAGCGTGTGCATGGTGACCTTTGCACTTTTCCAGTAATTCGAAGGTAGCACCTCCTAAGTCACGTGTGCCAAGAAGAAACACAGACACCCTATTTCTCAGTTTACCCCCTGTACTCTTATATACTTTCAGATTCTCTTCCAGCGACAGTCGGTCTACCTGTATATTCTTTTATATTTGGCTATGTTCGGTCCTCGTGCACTTGAGAAATAAAGGCAGCTTTGTTTGTCTTTCTTCAAATGAATCAGGCCTTTATTCAGACTCCTTCAACTCTGTTATGGTTTATATCATTTTACTGTAGCTGTTAAATTGCTAACATTGGACTAATTTTAATATTGGCTGGCATTCACAAAGGCCTAGATCTGCAAATCTGAAATCGGTCAAATTCTATGAAAATTTTATTACAATAAGGTATTTTTAAGATCTGACTAATGGCTTATTTTTAATAGGACTTTGCACTAAAATTTTATTATAATCTGCAACACTTTAATCTGTGGTAAGGGTATACATTATCTTTTTTGTGGGCTTTGTTTTTTTTAAGAAGTAATGTTGATTTCAAAATATATTTGTAATTTTCATCTAAATTTTAACACCAAGAAGTGGAAACAGTTATGAAAGGGCAGTAGTAATATTAGTTATTAATTGCAAGATCATTGTCAGTATCATTTCCATCATTTAAATAATAGTAATTTTTATAAAAGTTAAGTACTATTGTCGATACACTTTTGTATATTTCTGAGTTTTTAGGCAACAAAATTTCTTAAAGTAATTTATATGGTATAAATCTTTCAATTGTATTAGATCCTTCCATCCTTCCTAGATAGATTACATCGAGCATGATGAAATGTGTTCTGCCTGATAGGGGCGAGGCCCTTATAAACTCTGCCAGGTGCGCTGTTTCTGGGAGCTGTGGGCTCTGACGCTAAGTAGCCGCAGGCTGCTGCTGGCTCTTCTGACTCCTTTGCTGTCTGCTGTGCTTCTGAGAGCTCCTCTCACTGGGTCAGCCTGTAGCCGCTTTTCCCTCTTGTAATTGCTGCTTCTCGGCTAAGGGTTTGGAAGGCAGTAAAGTCGAGGTAGTTCAACTTCTGGGAGGTGGGACAAAATAGGCTGTGCATTTGAGGGCCTCAGAAGCTCTTATCTGAGAGGAGAGCATGGGCTTCCGACAGCTGTGCACCTGCCCGGAGCCTTGTACACTTGCATTCTGGGTCTCATCTGTCTTCCAAATACTCCTCATTCCTCAGATGGGAACAGGTTTCTCCATGGGTTGAATTCAGCTTGTAGTGGAGGGATGGGTTTTGCTTGCCTTAGGTCTGTAAGTTCCTGTTAAACATTAGAAATATTTAGCTTCCATCCTCAAATCCATTTGGGTCTGTGGAGGGAATGTTGGTCACAACAGTGCTTGTTAATGTCATTATCTAAAGATGTCATCTAAGCTCTATCACCTTTGTGTTATGTGCACACACTTGAGCTGTAATCCTCCAGGATAATGTTTTCCAAGACAGAAAATTCTAGAATCTTAATAAGACTTTAGGATCTAAATTGGAGACTTTGCCCAAGAGTAATTTCCTTATAAAGATCTAGGGAAGAAAATGAAAATCAAATATAATTCAACATTCAGAGACTTATTAACATCGTATGCCATTTCTGACTTTTTTCCATTATTATGTATGAAATGTGTAGATCTAAAAAATGTTTGTACGGAAGTCTTTAAGTGCAGAATGATGATTATGAGGTTTTGTGAGAGGATTGTTGTTTGCCCCTCTAACATAATAAGAGCATATTGGGAATTTTTTATTATAAGTTTTCTCCAGTATAAAAGCAGCAGCACTATATTGACAAATATGTGAAAAACAGGAGGAAAATCATCCGTACTTTCGTCCCCCATCGCTGTCACTGGAATGTTGTGTTATACAGTGATTTGCATGATCGTTTCTGTTAGACAGTGTTCTAGTGATGCTCCCTTAGCTATTGATGCATGAGTGCAGGATGAGAGCAGCACAGTGTTTCTGCTCAAGGGTACTTGAAGGATACTTGCTATTTGATATGGAAATGGATTGCACTTTACAGAACTTATAAGAAGTTGTTTGAAAGCATTCAGCTGTTAGGACTGAAGCATTTCAAAATAAAAGACTTCTTCAGAAGGTCGTATCCTTTACCTGAAAGCAGAAGCCTGACCTGCACTTGAATAAATTGTACGAAAATAATGTTAATTTAAAGAATAAAACCAGAAAGGTGCACTTTTATGAAAATTGAGAAAAACCAAGCTGCTTCTTTAGTCGCCGAAGTTACATTTACCTTCTCTTTGTTGCAGCTTCACTTGAAGAAAGGAAACTTCTTGGTGCTCAAAGCAAAGGAGCTGGGCCTCCCAGTGTGAGTGTCGGGGGCGTGGCTGTTGGGGCCCCACGGGTGTGCCTTTGTTCCTAAAGCTCCCTCTCACAGAGGGCTTGCCTCTTCATTTCAGTGGGACAGCTGCCATTGCTCCCATCATTGCTGCTGTCAAGGACGGGAAAAGTGTCACTTACGAGGGCAGAGAGGTGAGACGCCCTGTTTTCGTGATGTTTCAGCAGGTACAGGTAGGGTCTGGAACGCTGGACAGAGTCACTGTCTGGTTCAGGTCCTACATCACTTTTGAGGGGAGTGGAACAGCTTAGATTTCCATCACTTGGCGAAATGATAAAATGGGGTCCCTTATCTAGACTTGCCCTGCATATCAACACTGGCTGCGTTTGGGTATTTCTGTAGATTGTCTGTTGAGGATCTGGGGGTCCTCCTCCTAACGGGATGGATGCTATCCCTCGTACTTGAGCTTGGGGCAGCATCCAACAATGGGTCCCATAAGGATGGAATTTGGGTGCATGGCCCAAAGGATGCCGCTGTGTTCTTCACCAAGATGTTTTCTCTGGCATCCAAGGATTAGGACCAATGACGACAGACCTGAGAGAACCTTGAATGTCACGCCTGGCTTCCTGGTCACTCTAGGTTTGAAAAGCCCTCTGCAAGCTAGCTGCCTAGGTATAAGCAGAGAGAGCAGGAAAGGTGTGGGTGGTGAACCTTACCTTGGTTTTCTGCTTGCTCAGTAGGGATTATGTAATGTCAGCAGTTGACTTGCAGCCATTCGATATGTTTGCTGAGCTGTAACTGCTCTGGGAGAGCATCATGACCCCACTGATTTTGCAGATTTTGCCTGAAGAGATCTGTACTCCTCCAGATCCTGGTCTTGCTTTTGTTGTGGTAGAATGTCCAGACGAAGGATTCGTTCAACCCATCTGTGAGAATGCCACCTTCAAGAGGTAAAGAGGGGTCTCCAGGGTGGGAGAGTGAGAGCCGACACAGTGCTCACAAAGCCCAGCCGCATCCACAGGGCGTCTGGCCTGCCCGTGGCTGCTCCTGCTGTAGGGCCATGTCTCTGGGAAAGCCCACCGTCTGAATGAAATGCCGAAGCCAGACTCCTATCTTAGGCTCCATCCTACCAGCAGGATATACAAAGCTACTGGTGGTTGGTGGGCTTCGTGGTGAACACAGCCTTGAAGTGAAATTAGAAAACACTGAAAATCAGAGATAGCTACAGATTAGAAAATCAATGGCCGGTTAGAGTTCTAAGTCTAGGATAAATTCTAGAACTTTCTTGAGTTCTAAATAATAGCCCAAATCATTATTTGGATTGCTTTTACCTAAATGAATGTTCTTCACTTACCTGTATTGAATCTGATGAGGGAGGTCTGAGGTATTTGAGATAGTCTTGGTCAAGGGTCTGGGTTAAGGGACAGAATCTCAGCCTGGGAGCATCTTTGTTCTGATGGCCTGAGTGCCATTCTCTCTTGTCCTCCAAAAAAGTTGACCCATTTTGCAGTTCAGCTTTGATCCTGGGTAGAATCTTTGACCCACATGTCTAGTTTTAATTTTTCTCCCATTCTTAATCGTTTATCCTATCTGTATTTTTCCCATTCCTAATGTTTATTTACGTTTTTTCGCTTATTGTTTTTGTCTATTTAGCAGAACAGATCTTTTGGGGCATCTATACCTGTTTTAAGTTAGTGTTAGAAGTTCTTCCTGGAATCAACTTGATTCTTTTTGGGTGAATTTGGGTACCCTGGTGACACGGGCTTTGTGTTTTAATCAAGTCATGGGCAGCACAGCTCCTTCAACTCACTGTGACCAGGTGTGAGCTGAGAGCCATGGGCATTGGTTGTTGGGTGTTGCTGTCAGGTTTAAATACATGGCCTGTGGACCCCCGTGTGTGTGTGTGTGTGTGTGTGTGTGTGTGAGGGTAGATAAAAACAGTTACTATATGTATTTTTTTAAGGGAACTGGAAGGAAGCACATTAGCACGTTAGTAAGTGATTATCTCTCTAGATGGTAGAATAACAAATGATTTTAATTTTCCATCCCTGTGTGTCGGGTCCTCTAGATGCAGACGCCAAGGTGGAATTGGAGGTGCAAGAGACTTAGTGGTGGAAATGCGTGAAAGATAAAGGCGAGGGAGCAGGAGGAGGCAGGGAGAGCTGTTGTTCTGCTGTGCAGGTCTTAGCTTGGAGAAAGGAGGGACAGGAAGAGCCTGGGCCTGCAGCACAGCCCTGAGAAAGGCTCAGGCAGGCCGGTGGGAAACCCCAGAGCTTGCCGAATAGACGAATCCCGGGTCAGCGCCGGGGCTCCGCCATCCTCCGGCACCTCAGAGCAGCCGAGGACAGCCTGGCCAGGGCGTGAAGGCTGTCAGGCTCCCCTGAGAGAGAGCAGAGCGGTGCCCTGCCTGGCTGCACAGTCCTGTTTGCTCATGTTCTGAGTTTGTGTCACTTTACAAAGCAAAGCCCACTCTTCCTTCCGCCAGGTACCAAGGAAAGGCCGACGCCCCTGTGGCCCTGGTGGTTCACATGGCCCCAGAGTGTGTGCTTGCGGACAGCAGATACCAGCAGTGGATGGAGAGGTATGGAGCCCAGCAGGACACATGGGGGGAGCTCTTCTAGGCATGACACATTTCTCTCTGTCCTCCCCCTCACTCTTTTAAGTGCTGCCTACCCTTACTGCCACACTTGCCTGAACCTTCTCGGGGATTCCTCCTGTCCCGGAATTCTGGAAGCACTGATCTGTACCACTCTTGTGAAGAAATACCACCGCTAGGTGGCGCCGTGTATACACGTCCTGCTTGTGTGGGGCACAGGGTCACACAGTTTACACCCTCCACACTCTCAGTGCCTGAACAAATAGGATTCCACGGGTGTATCCTAGAGAAGAAACCTGCGGGTATAAAATAATAGCTTCTGGTTATTGAACACCCACCACTTGACAGGCAGTATGGTAAATACTCTGCATTTCCTTCCGTTTTTTTAAATCTTCCCGCTGACCGTGTGAGGCAGACGTTCTGCCACAGTGTAGGAACTGAAAGAAGAGATCCCTTGACTTGTGCTCTTGGCGTCGCTGGCCGACCCACAGCAGGTGGAAGGAGTTATTTGAGTTGCACTCGGAGCGCGTAGTAACCTTGGGTGGCGTTCCAGCCTCCACTCCTGCTTCTTCCCAGCGTCTCCCTTCATCTCCTTCCTCGTTAGTCCCGGCAGTCGCTTACTCCTCAGCTCTCTCCAGCCTCAGTGCTTTTAGGGTTTGAGTCTTAACGTATGTTTTCTATTTTCCTCTTATTATGCCTTTTCTTCTTCCACCCCGTCCTCCGTGTTGTTTCCAGCTTCCTAGCTGTAGGCTCCAAACGTCTTAACTTTTCTTGTTTCTTCTAGTACTCTCCAGCACACCCCAAAGGCACTTGAGTTTGGAGAGAACACTGGACTTGGAGACAGGAGTGTGATCATGTTTGGTCATTTATTAGCAATCCTTGTGGACAGGTCACTTACCCTCTTTGAATGCTTCCACCTTCATCACCGCTCCTAATCTCCAGTGCTGCCCCTTAGATGGAGATGTTCCCTAAAGGACACCATGAATGTACATTCTGTTTCATCCTAGGTTTGGGCCTGACACCCAGCACCTGATCCTGAATGAGACTTGTGCATCGGTTCACAACCTCCGCAGCCACAAGATTCAAACGCAGCTCAACCTCATCCACCCCGGCATCTTCCCCCAGCTCGCCACTTTCCCCTGTAAGGTAGTGTCACAGAATGGTCCCTGGTGGCCCGGCCTCTCCTCTTCTCTTTCTCTCCACGGAGTGTGTTTTGTCTCTTTCAGGAAGAAGGTGCCAGCTTCAGTGTGCCCACGGTCCGGGGTGAATGCCTCCTCAAGTACCAGCTCCGTCCCCGGCGGGAGTGGCAGAGGTCTGTGTGGCTCTGAGCTCGTGGAATGCTCTAGGTCAGGGGTTGGCCAGCTTTTCTCGTATAGGGCCCGGCAATAAATACTGCAGGCTTTGCAGGCCGTGTCTCTGTTACAGCTACTCCACTCTGCTGTGGTGGCACGAGAGCCATAGAAATACAGAAATGAGTGGGTGTGGCTGTGTTCCTCTGCAAATTCATCTACTACAACAGGCCCGCCCTAGTCTGGGTTGAGGTAGAAGATTGGGGCCAATGGTTATCCTTTTCTAAAATTGTTTTCTCTGATAACAACAGGGGTACACGTTCCTTGTTTTACAATATAGACATTAAGAAGTGTGTGATGAAGAGAATCAATCACCGATAATTCCGTCACCCCAAGATAATGATTGTTAACATTTTGTGTTTTTTAAGTATATGGGGATGTATTAAAAAAATCTATATGTGGGTTGATGGCCTGACATGTTGTCAGTCCTTTCCTGTATCGTTATATAGTCTTCAGTAACAAGATTTTCATTGGTATTCCGGATAAGGATGTTTATCCATTTGAAACATTTCCAACTTTTTACTGTTTTAATGAAACAATAAATGTCTTATATATAAATCTTTGAGTGGAACTTTGTTCCCCTGGGGTAATTCTTAGATGTGGGATTACTGGATCAGAGGGTGATACTTCCTTAAGGGACTTGATAAATGTAAGTTGCTGTCCAGAAAGGCTCTCCCAGTTTACACTCCAGCTAGTCACGTGAGAAGTGCTTACTGGCCCCACATCTTTAATTTTTATAATTTATTTATTTATTTTTTCCCAAAGCCCCAGTAGATAGTTGTATGTCATAGCTGCACATCCTTCTAGTTGCTGTATGTGAAGTCTGAATCTTCGAGTTTGCAGCTTCCCGTCCACTCCATGGTGTCTGTACTAGAATAGGCCATGTTCCAGATTTCATTGGGTGCTGTGTGCTGTTGTGCTGAGTACTTGAGGCTCTTTCAGAGACTATGTGGTTGCATGACTGGGGCCCACGGACAGTGTCTAGGGCTTGGAGAGCCTGTTGTCCCTTTGTCAGCATCTGCACAGGCATATGCTGACATGTTCATAAAGCTGTGATCGACAAACCTAGCCAGTCTCCAGATTCACCTTGTACCTGTGAAAACCTTGTACCTGTGAAAAATACAGTTCCCAGACCTGCTGAATTAGACTCGTGAGAGCTAGGCCTGGGACTCACTGCCTAAGCTCCCAGGTGATTATAGTGTCAGTCAGTTGAAGAGCCGCGGAACCAAGGCTTGCTGCTCAGTGAGGTCAGGACAGCAGCAGCGTGTTCTCCGGGAGCTTGCTAGAAACGCAGCCTCGGCCCCACCCCAGAGCCCTGCATCAGGCCCTGCGGTTCCACAAGGTTCACAGGTGATTTGTTGTATGCGTTAGATGGAAACCACTGCTCTCGGGCTCTGCCTGTCAGCCGAGATGATTTTGCCCCACTCCCCTCCCCGGCCCCCAGGGGATGCTAGATGCTAGGGTAGAGATCAGGGATGCTACACTGGACCGCAGCCCCACAGCAAATGTCAGTCGTGCCGGGATTGTCAGGCTTTGAGCCGAGAGATGTTCTGAGGAGCTAAAGCCATTCAGAACCCACTCTGAGATCCCCACTAAGCTGAGAAAGGGTCCACAAGGCAAGAGAACAGAACTGCCCAAGGTCTTAGTCTTTAGTCTTCAATCTTGATTTGAAGAACTTCCTGCAGACTGTCTCCAGGAATCGATTCTGTTCTTGAGGCCACACGTTCCCTTTGGTCACCTGAGATGCTTTTCTCCCTGCAGGGATGCCATTGTTACTTGCAATCCTGATGAATTCATAGCCGAGGCTCTGGAGCTCCCCAATTTCCAGGAGAGTGTGCAGGAATATAGGAAGACTGCACAAGACAGCCCAGCCCCAGCAGGTGAGAAAGACCGCCGACCAGCCGCTCTCCTGGCCTCTGCCCTCCTGCTCGTGTGTTCAGAGCACTAAGTGGAGCGTCAGCACGCACAGTCTCACTGGATTTATTTATTTGATCCAGTGCTTCTCTGTTCTCTATTTAAAACCACCAGTGCCTGCCCCCCTCCCAGACTCAATCGGGATGTTGGGTGATGACGCCCAGGCCTTCTTTACGAGGCACACGCAGCAGTTCTGGGAACTCCTGTGAGACTTGGGAGAGAACTCTGAATGGGGACTCAGCCAACTTGGGATCTAGTCCTGGCTTTGCTAATCGGGATCCACCGAAGATGTGGCCCCCTCCCTCACCTTGCTGGGCTTTCAGTGCTCCATGAGGAAAAGTAGTTAGGGGAACTTCGTGACCTCTGCTCCAGTAGTTCGTTTTTCCGGTGTTATTTTCAGCTAATGATAGGAATAGAGAACGCTGGAACAGAAGGCAGTGCTGGGCCGTAGTGCGGTCAGCCCCAGGAAGTGTAGGTCTCGCCTCCTCTTGTGCTGGCCGTCCCATGTGTGTTTGGGGAAGACTGTCTCCCTTGGCCTTACTTGCCTTTGGGTTTGTGGTTCGACTTCTGGTTTGAGTGTGAGCGATCCCTTGAGACCATGCCTGTAAATGTGTACCTGGGGCCTCTTGGGCTGGGCGAGGCTGTGCAAGGGGCACAGGCTTTGGAATCACCAGATCTCCCTGGACTTGAGTCCTGGCTCTGCCTCTTGCTCTCTGGAGAGCTGACCCTCTGAGCCTGCTTCTGTCCCCTGTAAAGTGGGGTGTTTCCCACCTGGCAGGGCTGTTGTGTGCACGCACAGCAAGTGCCGGTCTGGTGCTAAGAGCTGGATGCAGGGTGGACACCAGCCCCTTGAGGTCAATGATGGTTCATAGCACAAAGAAGTCCCCTTTGTCATTTAAAAGTCTTAGAGCAGCTCTCTTGAAGAAAGACTATAGAATTCATCTGCTCTCCCTCCCAACAGCCCTTTACCCACAAACAGCCTGTGGCCCCTCTCAGAGGAGGCCCAACTTAAGGCTGGGTGCCAGGTCAGACCACCAGCCCAGCCTGGGAAGCTGGACTTAGTCCTTACATGGCTGAATGCTGGCTCACTTTTGACCCGAAGAAATGGACTCATTCATGTATTTTTCCATAGAGACAAGAAGCCAGTATCCAGAAATCATCTTCCTTGGAACAGGGTCTGCCATCCCGATGAAGATTCGCAACGTCAGCTCCACACTTGTCAACATAAGGTATTACTGCTTTCCCAGGAAATGTCCCTCCATCAAGGAGCAGGCCGATTTTCTGAACAAAAGTCCTGCTCCGCCCATCGGGCTGATTGGACAATGCATGGTATAGAACCTTGTAAGCTTGTCTTCTTGGCTAGAATGCCCCAGAAGAGGAGTAGTGGGCGTTAACACGTTTTATAGCCTCAAGGTAACTTATGCTGCTGGGAATCACCAAAGTTCATCACCCATTATGTCTTGTGATAAAAATAGCTGATTTTACTGTATGCTATGCACCTTGCTAAGAAATTAGCTCACTTAATTTTCACGTTAATCCTATGAAGCAGTGAATAACTCCCCATTTTATTGATCAGTCACCTGATGCTCAGAGAGGTTACTTGGCTCTAGTTGCCATGGCTGGTAAGTGGCAGATTCCAAATGTGAATCAGTGTCTTCACTGCTGCCTTGTATGTGTCCCTAATGGTTACTGCTGATGGTGAGTGTGCATTTGTTTGGTGTTCAGCCCCAAGTGAATGGTTTTGGATGATTCTCTTGGGTTTGCCTGGTGTCATTGTTGGGAGAGAGATTACTCGGGGATTGTGAACGTTCATGGTACTTCTGCAGGTGTCTACGTGAAGCAAGTTAGACTGTGAAGTACCAGGTTCATTTTTAAATTCTGCTTCGTCATCTTAGATGCTTGTGGTGGATGATGAACAACCAAATAATGCATTAAATGTACACAGCAGGTATAAGATGCACCCTGATATCAGAAATATATGAATCTGGGACGTATTTTCATATGACTGAGGAAATGCGGTAAAGGGGCTCGGCGTGGGCCAGGCTTTCTCCCGAGGCAGAGATGCCCTGTGAGGGGGCTTCTCCCAAAACCCTGAAAGGGGCTCCTCAAGCCAGCTGCAGTTAATCGGAAGGTGCTGTTCCTGGCTTGGCCTTCCCACTCAGCTCATCTCCGAAAGGTCAAGTCTAGTGCTCTGTGGCTTCTCTCTGAAAATGGGTGCGGCCCTCCCAGGTGCACAACTCCTCCCAGAGAAGGAGTTCGAAGGCCTGGAGAAGAGAAGATTCTCACCCCTTGGAGCAGAGGTTCTGAACGGGCTGTCAGAATCGAAGCTCCCTGAGCCTGCCTGAGGCTGGCTGAATCCAAAGCCCAGACTGGAGCCGGCAGTCACATTGTCCCTCCCGGAGGAGCATCTCAGCCCATCCCGCACTGTCCGGCTTTGAGGATGTGGCCGAGGACACCAGAACTGCTGGAACGGGAAAGACATCTGATGGCAACCACATCTCTACCCAGACAGGCAACACCATGCCCGCCTCTGGTATTATCAGTAGCGGGTGTGGCCACACTCAGCCAAAATCTCTGGAAATCCTCAGAGAGTCGTCGTCAGGATTCAGTGGTTTTACCCTCCCATTCCACATAAACTGTTTTTGGATGCCCAGCATATGTGTGGCTCTGTATGCTTTCTATATATTCTAAAGGGCTTCAGGGTTCCATTTTATATAAAAATTCTTTTGTATAATGAGGATGGACATCTAAGATTGCCTTCATGTTTACATAAGCTGCTCAGAGGAAGAGCATGAGAGGTTATGGAAGGACGTAGAAAGCACCGCTGTGGCTGCCTGCTCTTCTCTGAAATACAAATCCTCCCCACTGCCAGAGGCCTTTCCTGTCGGCACTGAGTCTCGCTCTTCTCCGCAGCTCTGACAAGTCCCTGCTCCTGGACTGTGGCGAAGGCACGTTTGGGCAGCTGTGCCGTCACTACGGCGATGACGTGGACAGGGTCCTGGGCACCCTGGCCGCCGTGTTTGTGTCCCACCTGCACGCGGATCACCACACGGTGAGGGTCTGGGGGGCAGGTGCTGCCTCAGTCGCTCCACACTTTCCTGCTGCTCTCCTGTCTCCTCTTCCCACACTTGCCAGGAGCTTTGGTTTCTCATCTCTCGCGAGGTCCTGGCCTTTACAAAACCCCGGGACAGTCATTCTGCTCAGTGAGATGTCTTGTCTCTGTTTGCCTGCAACAGAGACTGTTGTCATGCAACACAGGGGTGCTGTCTTCACTCAGCTTGCCGTGAGTCTTGCCTTTTCCACGGCCTGCTCAGGGGAAGCTTCAGCCGGAGCTAGCAGACTTGGTCTCCGGGGCAGCTGGGTCCTGGGCCACTGCCCCCTTTCCTGCTCACATTGCCTGTGACATTTCAGGGCGGTGCGGGAGGATGGGGGCTGATAGAGAGCTGGCACGATGAGGACTCTAGACCCAAACGTGGGAGCAAAGGCGAGTTTGGACGTGGCTGATCCGTGCCCCCTCTTCGTTCCCAGGGCCTGTTACATATCCTGCTGCAGAGAGAACGAGCTCTGGTGAGTGCGGCCCTGACTTGATTGCCGTGTGGAGTGGCGCTGGATGACACACAGCCTCGCCTCCTGCCCTTCCAGACCATTTCCACTGGGATGTTCTGTTGTTGACGCGGCCCCGATTTCCTTGTTTCAGGCTTCTCTGGGAAAGCCCTTTCACCCTTTGCTGGTGGTCGCCCCGACCCAGCTCAAGGCCTGGTTCCAGAAGTACCACAACCAGTGCCAGCAAATTCTACATCACGTCAGGTGAGCGTCCGGGCGCCCTGACCACCCGGGCTGTTGTCTTCCCCCGCCTTCCTCACAAGCTCAAGGTTGATCTGGGGCAGCTGACAATATCCCCGGCACCCTTTCCCTCGACTTGGCCCAGGACGGCAGAAGCAGGGTGACATGCTTTGACTCGGGGGTAGAAACCATTCGATGGTCTCCACTTAAATGTTTGTTTTCTTTGACACGTTTCTTCTCAGCCCTCTCTTCAGTTCTGTTTTGGTTTGTAGATTTTTGCCAATACTTCTCCATGAAACAGTTCCGGGGCACAGTGCCCGAATAGTGGCCAGCACAGAGACCGCCCACACCAGGTGGACGAATGGCGGGAGCTGGCCCGTCCTCCCGTTGGGGCAGGAGTCCATCTGCCGCGTCTGTGGGCCGCTTGGGCAGGACCCGCCACGCCCTCGCCCTGGGCAGCTTCCACCGGTTGGCTTTGTCGCGGTGGCCTGGGGCTTTTGCTGTGGCTCTTTTTAATTCACTACTCTTTCCCCGTCTTGCTGACTGATTTAAATTGTGTTTCTTTATAATAAGGATTTGTGGACTCTCCAGCCAGAGACGTGAACTTTGATTCAAGTTAAATGTATGTTTTAACGTTTATTTTTTAAATGTTTATCTTCTCACAGTATGATTCCTGCCAAATGCCTTCAGAAAGGAGCTGAGGCCTCCAGCCCCGAAGTTGAAAGGTTGATTAGTTTGCTGCTGGGAGCGTGTGATTTGGAAAAGGTAAGGGGGCGGCCGCGGGCGTGGGGGGGCGAGGCGGGGAGCACAGCCCGAGCCGGTCGCCTGCTCCTTCAGTTTCAGACCTGCCTGGTCCGGCACTGTAAGCATGCTTTTGGCTGTGCACTGGTCCACACGTCCGGCTGGAAGGTGGTCTATTCGGGGGACACCATGCCCTGCGAGGCTCTGGTACAGATGGGTGAGTAGAGGCAGCCGACTCTGGTCCCACTTGACAACCTCTGGTTGTCGTCCTAACATGCAGACCCGCCACAGGGGCAGGGGAACGAGTGCTGGGCCAGGAAACAGGTGCGTGGACCCAGGGCCGAGCTTCTCAGGGAGAGGGCTCTGCTTGACGCCTCTGCTTACCCTCTAGGGAAAAACGCCACCCTCCTGATACACGAGGCCACGCTGGAAGATGGTCTGGAAGAGGAAGCCATGGAAAAGACCCATAGGTAGCAGGGACGCTGAGCCTTTGTCACCCACTCCCTCCACCTCCCCTCAGGTGACACTTTGAGCAGCCTGAGAAAGACTGTATCCTACAGTGACACCGGGCGGCCTGCTTCCTTCAAAGGCCCATGGGGGCTTTTGACCCCAGGGTAGTTCTCTTCTGGGCCGTTTGCCTTTATTTCTGCAGAGTTCTCTAGGCAAAGTTCTGGGGGGAGACATGGTTTTTGAAAGAAAGGGAAATATGCTAGAATAAACTGTAGGCCACGTCAGGGGAAGGTGGGGGCTGGGTGGCTGGATTTTAAGGCAAGAGTATTGCCCCAGGTCAGGAGCCCCCTGCTTTTTCTCAGATGCCCTCACTGTGATGGGTGGTTTGACAGCCAGCACAGAGCCTGGGCTTCATTTAGGGGAATGTGTGAAGAATCTGGCCCTTAGGAGAGTTTGTGTCGGCTAAAGAGGAGCCAATTGAGGAACCTGCAGCCTTCCCTGGGTGCCCAGGCGGAGCCTGGGGGTCGGGGTCTGGGCCAGCCTCTCCTTGGGAGTCCCGCCCTTTGGGTGAGCTTCAGCCTTACTTCGATCCTTTATTTGCAGCACAACCTCCCAGGCGATCGGTGTGGGGATGCGGATGAATGCGGAGTTCATCATGCTGAACCACTTCAGCCAGCGCTATGCCAAGATCCCCCTCTTCAGCCCCGATTTCAATGAGAAAGTTGGAATTGCCTTTGACCACATGAAGGTCTGGGTATCACGTGGGTTTTGTGGGGTGGGGCCAGGGCAGCGAGACACACTCCATCCACGTGCGGTATGGTCGGGCTCAGGGCCACGCCAGTGGGAGGGTGATCTAGCCATCACCCCATCATGACCAGCACTGGCTTTGACGGCAAGACAGACCTTTTACGGGCCTTCTAGACAGAAACAGTGTCAGGTCTCTGGACTTGACTGACAGCCTCTCGGAGGCCTGGGCTGTTCACAGTCACATCATTTGAGCATCACGTCAGGTGCGGGAGACAGCGTGTTCTCTCCTCTCGTGAGTGGTAAAGCCAGGCCTTGCCCCTCTGGCTTTTCGGAATGAAGGGGCAGGGCATGACCCAGCGTTTGTTTTTGAGGAGCTTGATTCTCCGAGTCTGGCCTGCCTTTCCTTTCCTGAGGCCCCTTCAGCTTTGCCACCCTTAGCCAGGAGTGGGGAGTCCATGCCCCTTTCTTTAGTGTCCAGCCTCTCTCCGTGGCGTTTTCTTTCTTGCTCTTCTCTCCCAGCTTTGGTCGGTGGACGAGGGTTGTAAAGAAGGGGAGCTGGTGCCTGCTGTGTGAGCGCAATTTCTTCACTCCAGCTCCTGCCTCCAGCCCAGCCCCTCTGAGGTGCATCCTTGTCTCGTCTTGCCTTCTAGGTCTGCTTCGGAGACTTCCCAACCGTGCCCAAGCTGACTGCCCCGCTGAAAGCCCTGTTTGCCGGCGACATCGAGGAGATGGAGGAGCGCAGGGAGAAGCGGGAGCTGCGGCTGGTGCGGGCGGCCCTCCTCTCCAGGGAGCCGGCGGGCGGCCCTCAGGACACCGAGCCCCAGCAGAAACGGGCCCACGCGGAGGAGCCTCAGAACCCACGGAGCAAGAAGGTCAGGGCAAACTGAAGGTCGGGAGCGACCCTGAACTCGAAGGCTCACGTCCTCGGCCCTGTGCACGGCGTGGTGTCCTCTCCTTCCTGGTGGGAGCCAGAGGGCACGGTTCACAGTGAGGCCCGCGGGAAGAGGTGGGGAGAAGCCAAGCCTGGGCTTGGGCCCTGCGTAATGACTGGCCTGCTTGACGCCTCCTACAACCTGTGCTGGCAAAGCCTCGAGACAGGAGGCTGCCGAAAGGAAGAAAGCAGGGACAGCTGGAATTGAGTGCCACTTAAAGAAGTCACATGGAAAAACAGTGCGCCCACGCCTGCTCAGCCCAGTTCTTCCCTCTGCACACCAGAGATAAGCCAACTCACATGGAACGTTGGATTGTGGACGTGAAGTCTAAGTGTCCAAGACTCAAGGAATAGTATTTCCAAAGACACAGAACACAATAAAGATTCCATTTGGAACCCGAGTGCTCTGCTTCGTCCTGGTGCCACCTCTGAGCAGGAGTCTCCCTGTGCAGTGTCATGCTGCCAGGTGCCCTGTGTGCCCTGGAAGCTGGCTCTGATTGCACGAGGACCTTTGGAGTCTGTCCCTGGGGAGTCACTACCCTTCAGTAGTCTAGTTTTTTGACAGAAGTCAAGTCGTGCCGCTCACAGCAGTGGCGTGCTTTCATGCGCTGGGAGAGCCACGCTGGGCCAGCACGGTGGCTCAGGGAAATGCAGGCCTGTTCCTGGTTCACAGCAGTGGCGTGGTTTCACGCACTAGGAGGGCCATGCTGGGCCTGCACAGTGGCTCAGGGAAACACAGGCCTGCTCACTGTTGTGGGTGAAAACGGAGACAGGAGATGTGCTCTTCCTTGCCCCATAATGAGAACGAGAATCACTCATTGCTCATCAAAGTATTGAGAAATATCACATCAGGCTGGCTCCCTTGCCCTCCTTTTGGGATTTAACAACACTGAAGTTAGTGCTTGAAAATTGAGAGAATTTTCAAAGACAAATCTAGTATGTATTTGTGTATTCTCCCTATGTAGGAGAATATAGAAAAAGTTTCAAAAACTCAGGTGACGAGAGAGACAGACCAGAGACTTGGCCTTGCCTAGCCGTGCACTCAGGTGTCCTCCTAGGCAGCATCTGAGATCGAGTCCCGTGTTCCCACCAGCTTATTATTAAAACAAGAAGGCCACGCTCACGGATAATAAATCTATTTTAATAACATTACTTTGGACAACTATTTGTACATGTATTTAAAGGTAACTTTCAACCCCTGGGCTCCATTACAAATTGGGTACTGAACCGCCCTTGCCAGGAAGTGAGCAAAGCTGTTAACATCAAAAGTTTGCAAATCCCACTGTCAGGGAAGGGTTATTTTACACTGTGTTGGGAAAAATAACTAAGCATTTAAATTTCTCATTGTACACCTGTACATTGGTTTAGATTGAACGGCTCAAACAAATATAGAGAGATTTCATATATACAAATATTATATCATGTATAGGTATATCATATCTATTTTAAAAGGATAAAATTTTAAGCTCTGACTTTGCATGCATGACCCAAATCTGCATATCACTCCCTTAATCCCAGAGTGTGACTTGGCTCCCCAGTGCCCTCCTGGCCCTCCTCCCCAAGAACGGATGGGACTTCATGAGAAGGGATGAGCGACTGATGCTGGTGAGCGAAGCACGCCACACCGCAGGGCCCGTGGTGCTGGCCAGGTGTCTCCGTGGGCCCATTTCCCTTTCCCTTACATGCTTTGGGTGACAATTATTGCTATTCACTGGTGACCTCCAGAAAGAAGAGGCAGCTCTGGGGCCCCACGTACCTAGTGAGCAGGGTGCCCCTGGGATCCTGGAGGGGTGTAATTACTGTCAGACATCTAGTGTGTTTTGGGGGGTGTATGAGGAGCTATCTTTGGGCCCTCCAGACACCCTCAAGATGAGTTTTTAAATTCAGAAGTATAAACTGATAAGGTAGTAAAGGGAGCTTTCAGTCACACAGTATGGAAAAATTGTTAGGAAGTGAAAAGAATTTCATTTTAAGCCATTTATTTTAGTGCCCACGGGTTAAGGGCAGCCTTAAAGATTTCCCACCAGCCGGTCCTCCCCTATGTAGCAGGCAAGTCAGTGCCCCAGGACCTCTAGAATTCCAGAACCGGTCCTGCTGTGAGTGAAAGGGTCCCCTGCTATCCTGCTTCCCTTCTGCAGCCATTAAGCTGATACTGTAGGACTTGACATCAGCCATCAGGGTACGGGTGGCAGGCGGCCCCCAGGTTTAACCGGGCAACTCGACGCTCCCTCTCACCCCTACCCTGCAAAGGACATTTCTGACAGGCAAGCCCTCCGATGGAGAGAGCGCTGTTGCTGGGTATGGAGGCTGAAAGTGGATCAAAATAGGCACAAAGTCAAAAGGCAAAGATGAAACAAAAGGCCAAAGTCACCACCCAAAGGGAACAAAATCGGCACCACCAACATTTGCCACACGGGCTGGAGGTGACAGTTTTCTGTGAAACTCCAACCGCGTGTTGGCAGTGACAGCGAGGAGCCAGCAGAGAACACCGGCCAGCCCAGGGCGGCCCCAGCAGTGTGTCTGTCTGGGGCCCACGTATGTACATGCGTGGCGGGGGTGGGCGCCGGGTCAGAGGGCGGTGCTCTCAGACTCTTCCTCCGAGTCCCTCTTCTCAGTCACCGAGTGTCGCCGCATGTGCTCCAGGGGACTCAGGCGGAGCGTTGACCCAAGCTCTACGTGGATGGAGGGGATATCAAAGTGGACGAGATCTGGAGGTTGGAGAGAGAGGTGGCTGAAAAGGGCCTCCGGCTAAGGAGACACTGATGGCAGGCATGGTTGGCATTAGATGTGGCAGTGGGGAGCTTACTGAGGGGCTGGCTCATCTAGGTTAACCTGCACTTTATTGCAGGATCAGTTGGAGTCAGGCCTGCTTTGCATCTGCCCCACAAGCCTGTAGCACCCAAGCATCCAGATTCTGCCCCGAGGGGTTGAGAGAGGACAGAACAGCTCCCCCAGCCGGGCCACACACACTTCCACCCTCGAGCTCAGTTCTCCACAAAAAGGATGCTTTCTGGGCGGGTCTCAGTGACATCTTAGGCATTTCAGGGCTGCATTTAGTTCCCTAAAGTGTGCAGGGACAGGGTACGAGACAGTGGGAAAACTCCTTCTCCTGAGTCCGTGAGCGAATGGGGGAGTCCCGAGACGGTGCCCTCTCTCTAGGGCCACGCGCAGTACATTTTGGATGGCTAGTGGCGGCAGGGTGGAGCGTCTCCCTCAGGACAGGGGAACTGGAGCCGACTGCACTCCCTGACTGCGGAAAACCCCGCCTCAGCACTAGGGAAGCAGTTCCCTTCAAGTTACATCCTTACTGGGACCACTAAACGGTCATTCTAACTGGGAGATGACCAGGAAGAATGTACCTGAGATCACAGGGCACGCCGCCTGTGGGATTCGGGACATCTGTGAGTCGGCAAAGGAAAGTCCTGAGAGCCAGCAGCTCAGTAGAGGCAAGGCCACGGTGTGGGGGCCTGGAGCTGCAGCCGCCCCCCCGGCGGCCGGCAAAGCCTGAGCTCGCTGCTTCCTGGGGGCTGCAGGAGGCTAACCGGGACGCGAGGGAGCCGAGAGCCAGGGGCCCTGGGATCCTCTCCTCTCAGTCATGCATCTCCCCTGCTTGGCCTGCAGAGTTTCTGGCCTCCACTAAGCCTTGCTGTCAACCTGAGCCCGGGGCTGCACCCCGGGGTGACAGAAGAAGTGTTCCTAGAAGGGGAGCAGCCCTGGGCCAGCCCCAGGGGGGGAGTTTCTGTGGTTTTTTGTTTTTTGTAAAACAAACATTCAGCCCCAGGAATACCATACCAAGGGGACAGACAGACATTTGGACACCATCCTGAGAGACATTAACAAACATGGAAGCTCTGAGACAAAGGTCCTTCTCTCACCCACCCCTCAACAGTCCTCAGAATGTCATTGCAGCCTTTGTTCTGCTGCCTGATGGAGCAGAGATTGGGGTCTGAGGCTCAGCTCAGCCAGTGCCACGTCCCCCGCCTGCTGCCTCAGAAGACGTGTGAGTGCCCTGCCCTCGCTGCTGGCCTGAACACGCCCTACAGCTTGGATTCAAAATCCCATCCCTGTCACGGATGGGGAGTGTGACCCTGGACCAGTTTCTTACCTTCCCTGTGCCTCAGCAGTCGAATGGGAGTAAAGGGTGATGGCGGGCGTAAACATGACAGTGCAGATGGAGCACGTAAAGAAGGCTCGGCCCAGAACAAGCGCGAAGTGAGCTGTTCAGCTGTAACCCTTCAGGCTGTTCCCTTACAGAGACCTCTGAGGGGGAAGGCAGTTCAGGTAGCCAGCGAGCGGATTTTAGGGAGAGAAGCCCCTCGACACTGCTGGGAAAAGGGAAGCTTGTTTCCTGTGTCAGAGGCAGCTCCAGAAGTGTCTGTTAGGAGACTGGTCTCCGCAGGACCATGGGCTTAGCAGCTTTCACGGGGCACTGGAGGGCCGAGATGGCGGGGGGAGGGCCCTCCCCTGGTTTGCTCTGGCCGCCCCTTCTTACTGTGGCAAAAACACCTGATTCCTTCTGGCTGATTTCATGTTCTTGCCTCGGTTTTACTTTTGAGCATCTGCTCTTGATAGGAGGAGACCAGGAAGAAATTGGCATAAGTGCTTCCAAAATATTGTATTGAGTTGGAGAGAAAAGATCTGGCTGGCCATATACACTGAGAAAAAAATGAGCTCAGGATGCATTCTAACACTATGGATTCTTCTGGATCTGCCAGCTGTCTCAGCCCAGAGAAGACAAGATAGAACTTCACGTCTGAAAGTGGAGCCCCGCTAGCGCCCACCGCGCTCGCAGAGGACAGGCTGCAGGCCTCGTGGTGGAGGACGGGCCGCTGCACCGGCAGGTCCTCTCATGGGGAGGGGCGCACTTCCCTAAACCAGGTGCACGTGGGACATTTTCCCCAGACACAGGGCACAGAGTCTTCAGCAGGCAAGCCAGTGACACAAAGACACGTCCTATAAAGAACAGGTCTGTCACCCCCTCAATGCTAAACCCGAGGGAGGGGAGGGAGGAGCTCAGATTAGGCGACTGGTGAAGAGAAGGTGGGGGAGAAGACGAGCTCGGCCTGTGTGCTGGCTTTCTCCCCCACCTCCTTCTAATGAAAAGAAAGCAAGGCCAGTGGTCTCCAAAAGCCAATGGGTCCGGCGGTTCCTGCTGAGGCTGGGGAGGCACCAAGAGTGAAGCTGCCATGCGGGTGGTCTGCGCCACATGCAGAGAGCAGAGCAGAGAGCTGTGGCCTGCTGGGCGAGGGGAGGGGGCGAGGCTGGGGCCGCTTACCCTGAAAATCCCCCTCACACGTATCCAAAACTGCGTCACTCATGTCACACAGCTGCAAGAACACAACGATAGGATTCGGAGAAAGGAATAAACAGGATGAAGCAAGAACGTAACAAAACAAGTCTGCCACGTATCGCAGTCAGGTGGAGGACACCAGATCATTACAGACTGCACACGGGCTCAGAGAGCTGGACACACGGGACAGGACAACAGTCCACTGCCAAAGAACATTACGGCAAAACAGGGTGTGCGGGGGTGGGCGCATGATTAAGTCTAAGGGTCACCAGTCCTTAAACTGGCACATTATATTTCCCACACGGCCGTGGGGGCACTGCCCCTCAACGCTTTCTGTTGCCCACTTTTTGCCCCCAGATTTCTCCTCTCATCCTGTTATCTTTCTGTTTCTCCTGAGTGATAACCTCTGCTCATTCCGTTCCTTCCAGTATGGGCACTACCCTGTGTCCCCTCCTTGGGGTGGCTGGAGCAGTCGGCAGGCTGATGTGTTGGAGGGAGTGGCCCCTCAAGCCCCCTCAGGGTGACCCCCAGCTCCTGGGTGTGCCCACAAGCCCCGAGGGCCCAGGCCTGTGCTCCCCCATCAGGGCTCCCTCAGGAAGCACACACCACCCCCAAGAACTACCGGCGGGAAGCGAAGAGTGGGGCTCACTGTCGTTTTTCAAGGAGGAATTTCCTTCATTTTTTATAAGCCTCAGGGTAGCTGACGGCAGATGTCCCTTCAACACAACATTAATCACGTCCAAAATAAAGAAGCCAGATCACCAGACGGCTGCTCCCCACAATATCTGAATCTCCTGACCCATCACAAACACTCCAGCTGACTCGCCTTTTCATAGGCAGTGAGGAGCCGAGCTCTGCAGGCCACCCCTCCATCGAATAAAGGGAAACCGTCACTAGCAGAGAGGGACGGACATGGGGAGAAAGGCACAATCGTGGGAGAAACTCCAGTGCACTGGGACCTAGGACTGCACTGCTCTTTGTGACTGCATGTGATCTGTGTGTAGTGTGTGCACATTTGTGTGTCTGTGGTGTTTGCATAGTATGTGTGGCGTGTGGTGTGTGTGTATGCACGTGTGCCAGTGTGTGGTGTCTGTATGGGATGTGTACGTGTGTGTGTGCTATACGTCTGTGTGTGTGTGTGCATGTATCTGTGTGGGGGCGTGTGTGTGTGTTCCATCCCAAGCTGCCTCCCCTTGTGCTACTTGCGGCAACACTAAGCTGCTATGCTCGGGCTCTCTGCCGCCTGATGACATGGTGGGCTGGCTCTATCCCAAGACACAGCCCAGCATTTTGCCTGCTGCCCTGCATGAGGAAAATGCTACAGTGATCTCAGTGGCTACCACAAATACGCCCTGAGCTTCTAATCTCATGTGGACAAAGCGTCTGGGGAGATGTTTCAAAAATGTCCTCTTCTCCCAACCAACAAATGGTTTTTGCTAAATGTGGTGTGTGTTTGTGATTTCATGCTTACACATTTTTCTGGGGGAAAATAGCTGTGTCTTCAATTTTAAGTTTAAATTATAACTAAATTTAGCAGTTGTGGGCTTGTCCAATAAGCTCCTCAAAGAACGAGAGGGACATGCATCTTTTCTGAAACTGACCCGTTTCTAAATATATATTGCTAGAAATACTTTTTTCTAATAAGGCTTATTTAATAGGAAAAAGTGTCTTCAGTTCTAGTGTCTGTTCTCAAGATTCAGGTTCATACCTGTTTAAAGGCTTGGGCCCTATCCAAGGAAAACCTCCAATACCTCACCTGGGCTTCGATGCCAGCTGTTCTGCAATCAGAATCCGGTTCCCAGCCTCTCCGGAGCACCACTCCAATGAACTCAGGGCGCTCAGCCCCCAAATTAAGAGCAGAAGCAGAACTGGGCTGGTGGGCACTCGATTGGGAGGAATCCCCTAAGAAGCCCCTCTGCGGGACAACCTGGATCTCAGGCTGCTTTCCACTGGCTTACGGGGGGGCTTCTAAGCTCTGCATGGCACCAGCACAGCCATCCTGTGGCACAGGGATTTGGTAACCGGCAGTGGCGCGAGCAATCCCTCCACTTGGCACATTTTGCTAAGGTTCATGGAAAAATCGGAATCTTGGTTACCTGTAGACATGCTTTCCCCGGGGGACATGCCATCTAGCACAGGGTGCTCCGTGGACTGCGGGCTAGAGGCTGAGAGGTTCATGGTGGGAGGCTGTGGAGGCGGCAGAGTGGGTCTCTGGCGGGGCTTCGGGGTGGGCCGCGACTTGGTTAAAGTGCTCGTGAAGCCAGAGGGAGAGGTCAGGGGAGGAACCGCAGCCGCCGGGGAGAGCTGGCCGGAGGCCAGAGAGTACCCTGGAGGGTAACTCAGTCCGTAGGGCGACGGGGTGCTCGGTGGGGTGGGAGACAGGCTGAGTGGGGACGGCTGGCCGGTGGACTGGTCAGTCATAGCCCCCGGCTGGCCAAAGGGGACCTTGGGTGGGATTGGTGCCAGCTTCTTGGAAACTGAAAGACAAAACAGAACAACAACAACACACAAGGTTGTTAAATGAAGCCCATCGTCCGTGCGGCCTGTGAACACCGCCTAGCCCTCCTTCACCACCCCCTACCCCTCGCACCCCCATCCCTACCCCTGGCTCTTGCCACCCTGAGAGCAGCCAATACATTTTTAAAAATTCACCTAGAACTGCAAGTTTTCACATGTCCCCATCTGTTCACTAATTTCTCCTCCTCTTCTCTGGATTCCTGCCATGATCTACACACACACACCCCAGACAAACTGGAGAACAAATTTCCCATCCACAGGCAGCGGCTGGTTTCCCAGCCTCCTCTCATCACTCTGTAGTGGTGAAGGTGGAGTAGTGCTCCGAGGAAGAGTCAGGGACGCGGGCACGACAGACGATGAAGAGAGTTCAACTTGCGACAGTGGATCCTGGACAGGGTCCCTGGCTACCCTGGCCAGTGTCCTCGGGGTAGGAAACTCTGACTTTTGGCCGAATCTTCCCAATGGCTCTGGGATCCCATAACGGTGACACGTGACCAAGTCCACAGAAGCCCAGCGCCGCCATCACTTCATCTGCCCTTCCCCGTCCTTCCCTCAATCCTGCGCGCTGGCCTCGGAGGTAATTTTCTTTCCAGAATCATGCCCTCTGGGTGTAAATGTGTCCAAATCTACTGCATTTGTCTAAACACATCATTGCTCCACACCCCCTCCATTGTCTTCATTTTCCTCTTTTTATTTACTTAACCATGCTAAAGGATGACAAAGACATTATATCTTTAACTGAAAATGAACTGGTGAGAATGACAAATTCAAACATTTGGAAGATCCCATTGATGCGCAAACATCTTGAGAAAGCAATCACCAATCTGTCAGAACTAAGTGAGGGCTGGCTGTGGGTAGCACTAATTGTAGAAGAAATTGTCTTTTAAGCCCTCAAGGAGGCATCAGGGCCTCTTCTCCCACCCCACCCCCCACGCCTCCATGTAACAAAATCTCTCCTAATGGTGCCTCGTGCGTGCACTCCCCTGGCTCCTTCGTGGGCAGTGTGGACACAAACATTGTCCTCAGAAACCCACTAATGTGGGTTCAAATTCCCGTCCAGTCTTACCCCCTGTCTGCCCTGGCGCAATTTATTTAAACCTCTTCTATACAAGGGGAAGAATAATATTTTCTCCACAGCGTTGCAATAATTAAATGGGATCCTGTAAGGAAAGCACCATGTAATCACGACTTATAATAAAGCCACTTTTCAGCTCTCCTGGCTGATGCAGGAATCACTCCACTGGAGGAGATGCAATTGATGCTTGACGTGTCTTCCCCTAGGTGAGCTGGGACAGCGAGGAGGCAGTGCCATCACCAAGACGTCTGTGATGGCATTTACCGCTCTGGGTAGCGACAGGACTAGGCCATGACGTAAAACTGCAGGCACGCTGTCAAAAGACTGAGGGGGTAAAAGAAAAGCTCAGTGTGCCATTAGCGGGCAAGATGGAGCGTAGAGAAGAAAGTTGTAGCCTTCCAATGCTGGCTCTGAGCTACTGAATGTCACTCGGGAAAGGGGTTTGAGTCATTCTAGGTCACATTCCCTACATAGGTCCAATGTGCTGTGAAAATTGAAAGGGACAACCTACCACTGGCATTAGGAACCCAACTGGCCTGGAACAGGAGCCCTGACCCCACTGGACAAAACAACAGCTTTGCCATCACCCTGCCTTATAGAACTGGGGGGAGGGTCAAAGGCCTTGTAAACAAAGACAGCTACAGACCTATATCTAGACCGCACAGAAGACCTGTTGGTGCTGGAGAAAAGCCCTGGAATGCTGAATCCCACCACCACCACTTTGGCTGAACTCCTCATCCTGAAGGGTCCTCAGCACATCCTGAACACACCACCCTTGTACTACAGTCCCATGTTTGCCTTTCTGGGGAGGCTCTGACTGCTGCTCTGTTATATCTCCACAGCTCTGCACACAGTAGGGCTCCACAGATGTCTGTAGGCTGTATGAGGACTAAGTGGGGAATGAACGAGATGGAGGGGCTGGGTGAGGGCTGACTTGGATGATGGGATTGCCACTGCAGCCTGGGGCCAGCGAGGCTGGAAAGGGACCTGTTGTGAAGGTCCATGTGGATAAGGAAAACCAGCCCTATTCCACAGATTCTGGAGGTAAAGCCACATCTAGAAACTGGAAAGATCTGAATGGAGAACAAATTAAACAAAATGCTATTTCAAACAAGCTAAAGACTTTGCTAAGAAATGACATAAGGTGAAAACCAAAAAGGTTCAGCTAAGTACACATTCCGTGCAGCTCCCCATTTATGAAATGTAACCACAGAGCATGTCTTCAGCTTCTGGGAGTCATTTCAGAGAGAATAACCAGGCCTTTTACAGTGTGTTCCAGTGGCAGATTCTGGGTTGGGTGGTTCATGATCAGTGTAGAAATTCTCAGGCCTTCCAAAACAGAAACATCGAAGGGCAGGACTCCTGCAGGAACAATCCTGGTTCCCTCCTCTGTGTCACCTCTACAAACAATCCAGGGGTAGGAGGCTGAACTAGGCTCCGGCTGGGGGGCAGGGGACTCCTGCAGAAGACTCCACACAGTTTTAAGTGATGGCAATAGAGCCTGGCACGGTCCGTGGAAGACATGTCATCCTGGGCAATGAGTTCTGCACAGAGGTCTTGGTGTATGGGAAGCAATGCCCTATATATGCCCCTAATGAGCCTGCTGTTCAATTGAGTAAATGGAGGAACAATGATGAAACAATCCCTCTTGGAGTTGGTTAACTTCCAAAAGTTCTAATGCCCAGACAAGGAATTTTTCACTAAGCCCCATGGTTTCTTAATATCCACGCTAATTGAAGAAAATGAGTTTTTAGGCAGTGAAACAGCTTTCTCTGGCCTGAGACCAATGTGGAGGGTGGCAGTGACGTACCTTTCCGGAGGGTGTGAGGGCTCTGGTCTGCAGGAGGCTGGCTGGGGCTGGTGCTTGGCTGCACCCCTGGCTGCGTCCCTGCACAGGGAGGCCCCTGGCTGGAGCCTGGACTTCCTTTCTGCCCAGATCCTGGGGAAAGTTCCTTGCTTTTAGAAGTGCTGAAACACAAGTACACAGAACAAAAGAGAACCCCTGAACTCAGGCAACTTCAGCACCAGCACTGTGGATCGCAGTATGTGTTCCCTGGGTCAGCTCAAGTCTGTCCCAGCTCTAGTCTGTCTCGGGGATTTCTTAAAGCCTTCAAAGATGCCCCTGGAGGTGACTGACCCTTCCTGGGGATCTGACGGCCTGGGTTCTACTCTTATCTCTGTGTGGCACTCACTGCCAGCTTCCTCTCCATGCCTCTTCCTTCTCTCCACAAGGAGACCATGAGAAATGAGAGGCAGGGCCCTTGAGCATCCTCACTATATCTTGTGATCAGCATGGGGATTCTCGGACACTCTGAAACTCTTGTCTCTTCTGTATCCACAGCATACCGGAGCAAGAGGACTTCTTAGGGTCAGTGTGCTGAATGGGGGCTGATGACTCAGGCTCACACTGCCAAGCTTTATGGCCATGGCTCTCCAGCTCTCCAGCTCCTTTCCCCGAGTCTCCACCACACTCCCAAATAGGGGAGGAATTCTGGGACCTACCCTCAAACTCAGTAACAGATCCCTGCAGATGGCAGGGCTGACACAGACTGGCTATACTCCTGAACATGGGCCAATTCAAGTCCCAGTCCTCCAGGCTCAGAGGGGTCCATGGAGTGCTGGTCTGTGGAGTGGAGTTGAGTAGGGTGTCCTCGAACATGTACTTTATCCTTAGGAGAATGCCTGAGAAAGAGCTAGCAGTGAAGGATGAATCCTCTTTGGGAACTGGTGACCCAGGGCTGTCTCTTTGTCAATTCATGGGACTCCAGAGGCCCTCACTGCCATTGGCCCTCACCCCCTCTGAGCCTGGCTGGAGAGAGCTGCCAGGCCTGGAGAAGACGGACCTGGGTGGGGAATGGGAAGGTTGGAGCAAGCCAGAGCAGGGGAAGGGCCTGCCATCCTCAGGGCCTCGAGGGGGAGCCATAACAGGAATCCGGCAACTGGAGGAAACATCATCTGGGCTGCAAATGTCCAGAAAACAGAAAAAAAAAGAACACAAAAAATAACAATGGAACAACCGTTTGTATTGGAAGGAATCCATGTGGGGAGAAAAAGAGTGGTACAAGACAAAGAAGGATGCTGACACCGAGAGGAAACCTACAGAACTGGTGACCCCGGGAAAAAGGGGCATATGACTGCAGAGCAATGAGACTGACCTTTTAAATAATCTGAACCAGTGGGCGACGTTCCCTGCCCGGAGTGACTCTGCAAGGTCACCCATCCATAACATTCCAGGAACACCTTCAGAGCCTGGGGAAATCCATCTTTGAGGGGCATTTTCTAGAAATATCATTTATATGTCAAATATCGTTTGGCACCAAGTCTCAGTTATAAGATGGAAAATCAGGATGAAGCCGACGCATGTCCAAAAAGGGATCTGTCCCAGCAAATCTGTCTATCTGTTCATTTCCTCCTCATCAGCCTCTCCGGCCCACAGCCATCAGCCTCTGCTTCTCCACTGGACTCACTTTCCCCGTCCGCATTTCTCAGGAGGACCTGGATCCGGTGAGTCCACAGCCAGGTCTGGGTCCTCTCGTCCTGTCTGAGTTGGAGCATCAGCAACAACCCAAGCATGTGCAGCGTCCATTCCCCCCTGAACTCGAGGACTGTCCCCTTTTACCTCTGTCATTTCCCCATTTCACAGGGAAAATTCCTTCTACTCAGTAAAGGAAAAAGAAAAGCCTGTAATCCGTTCATTTAGGGGGTTGGTATTTGTGTGTGTGCGTAAAGCTCAGGTTAAAAGGGTCAGCTTCCCAAAGTCCCCCGCATTTTTGCAGCAGTGGCCATGGAGGAAGGTTGCGTCCCATAACGGAATGCACAGCGGCGTCTGATCTGACGTGGCTTTCCTACGTCTCTGAATCGTTGTTTTAGAACAGACAGAAACGAACGAACAGCAAAGTAGTTTCCTTGTGCAATTCCCACTTCTAGAATCCCCTCTGACCACACCTCTTTCCAGGAAGGGCTAGATAAGCCTTGTTCCCGGCCACCCTGGCTATGACCATGTGCTGTAATTATCTGTCAGGGCATATCTGCTCACTGGGACATGTGTGCCTTAAGGGCACAGGGCCAATCTTTCATCTTTGGACAGCAGGGTCCTCTATAAATGTTCACTGAACTAGTGACTGAATGAGCTTGTTCTCACTTTTTTCTTCTTCTAAAAGAATGGAAATACAACCATGCAGCCTGCTGCAAAGGTCACCCGGCCCAGCATGACCACACGACCTCCACTCCTTCCCTGGTTTGCAGTAAAAATGGCTCCCAGGAATCTAAAGGTCGAGGAGAGGAAAAGAGAAGCACTGACATTCTACATTTCAAAATAGGGACCTTATAACGGCATAGGCAGGAGGAAGTAGAGAGGTGGGAACTTCGATTCCTCACTCACTTGAGCAAGCTGCCAGCTCATATGGTGGCTTGGGGATGCTATTCTTGGGAAGCCTGGGCTTTATCTGATAATCCAGGGAGCTGTGAATGACTTATTTGGTGCCAGCATGATGCAGAAAGCCAAACACGAACACTTAGAAATGGAGAGAAATGACAGAATCCAAGAGGCCTGGAGCGGATGCAGCAAACCCAGACACCCCACACCACAGCCAGCCCGCCCGAGGCGGCCGGGGCCCCGCTTACCTGGTCCGCTCGGCACCGGGCTGGAGGCCCAGGCTAGATGGAGAGAGCGAGGGCGCCGCTGAGGCTGGGCCGTCCAGGGGCTGCTCGGGCAGGGGCGACGGCAGGGGCGCTGCCAACTCGGCGGGCGGGGCAGGGGGCTGCATGGTAGGCGGGGCGCACGATGCTTTCCGGCCGGCCGAGGAGCCTCTTCTAGCCACCCAGGACGTGTCCATGACCCTCACGCCCATGCTGACGAGGGACACAAAGACACCTGCTTACCCACGCGCGCCAGGCTCCCGGCTCCCTCCCCGACGACGCAGACACATTCAAGCACGTCCGCGTTAGGAGAACAGCAGCGCAGCCTTAGCACCCTCCTGGGCCCAGGGAAGCGAGGCATCAGGCTGTGCTCCGCGGACGGCCGGGAGGGCAGTGCTCAGAGCAGCCCGGCTGCTCCGGGCCAGGCCTCACACCAGCGGCCCCAGCACAGCTGGCAGCTGCGCCTCCACCCTCTGCCAAAGCCAGCTGGCCTTAGGATCTGGGCGTGGAATCCAAGCTTCCCTTAGAGCAGAATGCAGCCTCTCGGGGGGGGCACTCACTTCTCCCACGTGGAAGATGGAAGTGGGCAGGACAGGGAGCAGGGCAGCATCAGACTAGAACACAGGCACTGACCAGCAGGAGACATCTAAATAGCCATCCTTCTTTTCGTCATGGGGGGGTCTAAAGCACGGGACCCACTCAGGATTTGTGCGCTAGCCCAGGACCCTGGCCAAGCTACAACCTCTGCTGGCCACACCCACTTGTCTACACAGCAGGGAAGGGGTGACCATGCCTATGGTCACGCAGGGCTTTGATTCAATTTTAATGATGGGAACACAGTCAGCTTCAAGTAAGTCGGCCAAGCAACCAAACACGGCACATTCACCCCCTGGCAGAGCTCACTAAGGCACAGCTTGCTGGGTTTTCAGAGATTGGCCGTGGCCTTGTAGCTACCCGAGGATACCATACCTTTGGATTTTCCTAAGGCTGCAGGGACAGAAACATACAGATATTAGTGTCAAAGAAACTACGCCTTACTATGGACATACAGGTTGTCTCTGGTCAAAGTCAGGGTCTAAGTGTGGGGCTTTTTTTGTGCCATGAAATTGTTTCAGTTTAGTTGGTCTCTCTAGTTCAAGTGACTCTTCTATTTGTATGGATGGACATCATATCCCACCAAGCACATAGTTGAGAAAAGAGCAGCTGATGAGTTGACGTCGGTGCGGGTAGGGGTGGGGGTGGGGGGAGGGTGTCATAATGGAGAAAAGAATCGATAGAAGTAGCCAACTGCTCGCTTCTAAGCTGTGTGACTTAGAAGGTGATTAATTCCCTCTCCTCTGGTCCAGGAGGTAACTGGTACTGTGGTATGCACTCAAGGCCTTCATTGACTAGGGCAAGAACTAATACTTCTAGGATCAACAGAAATGCAGACATTCATGCAGGGAGAAAACATGTCTCCCAGCCAGCATCAGTCTCTGCCACATATATGTACAGTGGGGTGTGAGGCTTATCGTGTGCTTACTCGCACCCACACTGGTCAGAAGCACAGAGCTATTACACCATGAAATCCTGCCCAGGGATTTCCTACAAGGCCACGTTTACCTTGTAGAGGTGCAGCAAGATTAAAAACAAAAAAAGGCTCCAGTTTGCAGATTGGTCATAGCAGGTGGGATTTGGGTCCTTTAAGGAAATCTGCTTCGGGATGGAGTCTGCAGTGAGGTGCACAGTGAAGTGGATGGGGACAGCTTCCTGACACTCTTCCCTCTGTAGGATCCCCAGAGACCTTCTCATGTGTAGTGTCATTGTAAATATTTCTCATCTCCCCTGGATGGCTCTGAGGAGGCACCTTGGGGGAAGAGGTTGTCTCTTTTCAGGACCCATTAGCTTTCAAGCCACCTTGGGTCTGAGGACCCTCCACTAATAAATAAGTACCTTCCATAGGAGATCCAGAATCACTCTTGGAGGCCACTCAAAACTCTGGGACAGGATCCAGTTGCATCCCCTGATATATAAAGTAGGCTACAAAGGAGTACTGAACTATGCTCTTTGGGCTTCAGAATTTATCAGGATGAAAAGAGCAAAAAGCTTAATATTCCACTTGGGGAAGGGAACTTGTACCACTGAGTTGCAACAGTTGGAGAGGATGGCAGGCATGTAAGATGTTTCCCATAGCGATCAACAGAAGGAGCCCTAAAGGATGTAACTTGCATCCTGTCTTCTCTTGCTGACCCTGTTCTCTTTCACTTAGGAAGACCTTTCCCATTGGTGGGGGGTGTGGGGAGGCATGAGCTTCAGGATCAGGGCGGGTGGGAGATGCCTTCTACTTCCAGCGGCATCTTCCAGCATCAGCAAGCTCAGACACCAGGCTACCTGGTGATCTTCTCCTGGTTTACCAAGGGAAGGAGCCCACTGGGGCATGGGGTATGGACCAGTGAGACCTACTAAATATAAGGGCAAAATGTCGGCAACCAAGAAATAAGAGCCGACGGTACACTTCTGCTTCTGCAAAGAGACTGTTGTGCCGTCTGTAATCACCACTTTCCCAGCTGAAATTACTTCTTTGTGGGAGGCAGCATCATATGTTCACAGTGAACAAGCGTCAAATGTTCAGTGATATTTTCAAAAAGTAATGTAAATCTTCCCAGAGAGAATCAATCACAAAGGCAGTAGCAATGCTGTTGCAGCCCTAACAGCATGTTTACTTTCAGAAGCAAATTGGTATAAATAAATGCTATATTTAATTTAAATGTTTGAAAGTCTAGATAGAACTCACCCCGATGACAAAACTTATAGAATCGCTTGGCATGCTGCGAGGAGGGAAAGCTATTCAAAGATGGAGGAATACAACCGGAAGGTTCTATCAGCAGTTCACAAGTTTCTGTTTATTGCTCTAGCACATAAAGAAGTAACCCTAGCCAGAGTCAAGAAACTGCTTGTGTTTACCAAGAAAGGAGTGAAATGGAAGTGCAGTTAATAAAGAACAATTGACTCCATTAGAAGTCACTGCACAGACACGTAAGGCCAGGCTGGATGTCAGGTATTTCTCATGCCTAGTGCTTCTCGTGAAAACTAAGAACTTGGTTTTCAATCCCTTTATAGCTGAATCAAGGAAGAAAGAAAGAAGCCAGAGGCCAGGAAGAAGCAAAGGGTTTGGAAATCAATAAGCGGGAGGCAGGAGGACACGACCGAGTCCAGGAGGGGACCTCAGACGAAGCCTCTCTTCTGGCTTCTCTGGGGCTTCTGAGAGGAGGGAGCGAGGTGGGAGAAGAGGACCTGCAGCATCGGGGAGGTGACCCTGAGACACGCCTCCCACTCCTCTCTTTTAGGGTAAGGAGACAAGGGGCAGGGAATTCAGAGTTCTCACCTGCTCATCATTGGCATTCATGTGGGGTAGGCCAGGTGACAAATCCTCACCTTGGCAAGGTAGCCCCACTGAAATACAGTCTTCCCTGTTTAACTCTCCCCAGTCCACCAAGATCTTATGTTTGTATGGAACTTATCCTAAGCCATACTTTGTATTTTTCATGAGAGACAGTATCACGGAATAGGCTCTGGAATGATCCAGTCCTCTCGACCCAGTTAAACCATTGATTGACTCAGTAGAGCTCTCTCCTCATCTACAGAATGAGGCTAATACCTCCCATCCCATTTCCAACACCCCATGAAGGTAATTTATCAATGACTGAGTGCTAAGATATATTTAGCACACCCCTGGACTACTACCTGGGAGTAGAAGCCAAGTGGTCATGTAACGGGTTGTGGTGGTGTGAGAGAGATGGGAAACACAGGTGTGCCTGGTAAGAGGTATGTCTAGCTACGCAAATGGTATTTTATGGGGGTGACAAGTTGGAGATGCAGAGAATCATACGACATCCTAAAGGAGGGAAGATAAAGGCCTGGTAGCTGGATTGTGTGGAGCTAGAGTGGCAGCTCCATGATATGGTGACCCCACTCCCTGTCCTGCTCCTCATTTCTTCTAGGGAGCAGCACAGCCCTGTGGGCAAGAGCATGGGGTTTGGAAGGAGGGATTTAAGATTTGAATTCCAGATTTTCCCTTTACTAACTGTGTGACAGGGATGAGTTACTTTATATCTACTATCCTCTGATCATCTGTAAAATGAGAGTAATGACGTCCCCCTCTCTCTGAGGGCTGTTGTAAAGAATACATAGAACAGAGTGCACAAATTACATAGCACCTACTGAGAAATCAATAAGCAGTAGCCTTGATGATGATGATGCTCTGTCCTTGTAGGTGCCAAGTACAGATGATGTAAGAAAAAAAATCCCCATGGAGAAAGAAAGAAAGAAAGAGTGAACCCAAGTCTAAAGCAGGCTGATTGAAGGGGGAAAGAAGGATACTATGTCAGTGAATCAGGTCCAGTGAGAGATGGAGATATTAGAAAGACCCCATCTGGGTACATCACCTGGTTTACAGGGTCTGCCATCAGATTTCTTTCCTTCCTAACACTGGCCCTAAACATCAAAAGATTTTGGGGTGGCTTCTCGGGTAGAAGTGGGGAAGGGAACATAAAACAAGGAACACAGGTAAGAGTCATTTTCTCCTAGGTTCCTAGTCTTCTAGGAATCTGGTGAGTTAGATGAACCCATGTGGATTTCAGAGGACAGGATGGTGAAAGCCTGCTTGGATGACCCTAGGCTTAAGGAACAGAAAAATAAAGAGGGGATCCTCACAATCCCAAGTCTTACTGCCCAGCCCGGGTCATCAGGGCAGGAAATAAGGAAAGAACAGGAAAGGTCACCTTGGCTGAAAGGTTCTTTGGAAAACAACTGCGATAGAGTGCAGGAGACTCAGCCAGGAATGGCCACAACCCTTCTGGCCTACCGAAGGTCTTCCAGGTCACAGGGAGCCTCCTGCAACCTCCCACTGTCCTTAGCCAGTCCATTTTGGTATTAGTATAATTTGTGCTTGCAGAATTAGCCCAATTGCTCATGGTAAGGCAGAGACAGATAAAAACACTGAAGGTGTTTTAGTGAGGTGCCAAACAAAGGGCTTGGTCAGGGTGCCTCATGGATGGAGAAGTGCACTCAGCCATGTTGCTATCTTAAAAACATAACAATGTCACTCAAAAATTTACTGTGTGTACTAGAAACAGCTAACATTTACCATGTGCCAGTCATTGTTCTAAATACTTCATTAATTAAGATGCTCAGAAACAACTCTGAGGTTGGTGCTTACTATTATTTTCCTATTTTGTACATAAAGACATGAAGGCATTCAGAAGTTAAGTAAATTCCTAAGATCACATGGCCCGGATTTGAATTCAGAGAGCCTGATCCCAAAGTTCATACTGGGCATGTTCACAGGACGACTTCACATAAGGTTATTCTTCTCACACAGGGTGGGAGAGGAAAGGGAGTAGGAAGGTTAGACCTATAACTGTCTCCTTGATGCAGGCAATGAAGCGGCATTCTTGTGTTCAAGTCTATAACCTGGTAGGCCATCCAGGGAAAGCAGAAGACCCAGGACCTTAAAAATTGAAAGAGACAAAGGCCTGCCCACGGAAAAAAAAAAGCCCAAATCTGAAAGTTGGAAGATCCAGCTCCAAGAAGAATAGGTGTCTACAGGCAGAATACATTTATCACTGAGCAGAAGTGTGCTGTGGACCATTCTAGATAATAAGTTGTCAGGGGTTAGCAGTTGTTTTTTGTTTTTCTTTTTTCCTCTGTAGGACAGACATCTGCTTTGCTGTTTTTGAACTCTGGTCAGGAACAATCCTAGCCACAGATGCATACAATAAATGGCTTTGAAGTATTCAAGTCTATAGAGATCTAGAAGGTTTTGACTTTTGTTCTAGAGATCAGTTACATTTGGCAAAGGCCAGCCAAGAGGGAGGAGACAAGCAAACCCGGTAGGTCCCCAAATATCCATTGAAGCCTCGGAAGTTCAGGGACTGTTTAAGAAGAACTTGGAGGCCAGAGGCCCATGGTGCCAATGTGAGAGAGAAGGGAACCTGAAAATCCTGACT